TGCCTACCTCCTACTGCCTGTCTAAAGAAAATTAAAGCAAGCGATTAGTCTGCTGTTATTTAAGACTTCTCAGTTTATATACAGTCTCACTATGCCTTCCACTTTTTAAATCCAAAGTGTTGGTTGTGAGGTGCAGAAAGACTTTCAGTTTTTTTCTGCAAAACAACGTGTAAGAGTACAGTACAAGGAATTTACTGGATTCACTCTTCTTCAAAAGGACCAGAAGCATCTGGAAACTCAGAAACATGGTGGTATCTCCAGTTAAAGATGGCTGTGTTAAAGCATCTTGGAAGACTCTTCATGTGAGGTATCTGTCCTAGCTTCCAAGATGCAGAGCATCACCACTCCTAGGAAAGCTGGCAAGAATGGGGTTTCAATCCCCTGAAAAATCAAGCCCTGTGTACTTAGATTTTTTTAATGTATGTAATAACTGGAAAAGTAATTTCCTTTATTCTAAGTAAAACTTACTGTTAGGTTGAATTAATCACAGCACTGAGAATTCACTGGTGTACCTATGCAGAAGTTCTGGGGGTTTTTTTTGTTTGTTTGTTTCTTTTTCCCTATTATACATTGCTAAATGCCATTGATATAGCTGCCCAACTGGGCTGCTATGAGTGTGTAAACAAACACTGAATTTGCTATTGAATATTTCCTTAGTGCTGGGCTAGTTTTTGGGTGTGTATGTTGGAGGCAAGTTCTACTGTAAACTGAAATGGAAGCAGGAACTGCCTGCAGTTTTACACAGGGCAGATGAGGGGTGCTGCTCCCAGGTCATTTCCATGGCCACGCCAAGATCGCTCAGGCACAAACATCTTTGTCAAGTCCCACCACAAAAGGCTAGCAAAACACAGCAGGGCACAGATCTCGGCTAATACTCATGGCCGCATGAGGACTGCAGTTCTGCTGATGACAACAGAGAACACTCACAACTTGACTTGCTTTCCCGCAGACTTTGGATGAAGTGGTTAAATCGAGAAACGCCTCTTCCACCCTACGCCGCTCAGCTAGCCAGGTCACAGTTCCAAGTTTAGCAGCTAACAATCGCAGCGTATCTCACGCACTGCTGTGAAAACGGATTCTGGTTCTCTTCATGCAGCTTCAAATTCATAAGATTTATTTTCTTTCATAGGCAGTGTTGAACAAAAATCCTGAAGTTACAGAAGGACCTATATCCAAATTAAGTCAGCTTCAAAACTAGATAGCACCTTTATATTATTTTCCACTTGCACTTATTTAAAAGATGAAAGAAAATAACTAATTCCTTTTGGCATTCATTAATTAGGAGTTTGAGTGTATTTATGATTTTATCTTCTGCAGATTGCTTAGAGCACTAAAAGGCATTTTATATTTTCAGTAGCTTTACTGTGATTTTAAGATTTAAATCCTCCTATAGATTTTTTTCCAGAAGCCCTGTAAAGCACAGAGATGCAATAACAGTAATTCTTTCTTAAAGCATTTTAAAAAGAACAACCCTCAAAGCAGCTATAGCCACGGGCAACACCAAATCCCCATTTTCTGTCGGCTCTGTCGTGTCTCAGTCCTATTTATTTGGGGTGCCATTCACAGTTATCTCTAGAAGTGCAGGGACCTCCTCCGGACAGACGACCATCTCTGTGTTCTTTCACATTTTCTGGAGCTCTAAGTTTCCCCCTCTCTCTGAAAGCTTACGTCAGGTTCCCTTAACACAGTGAAAACCACAGGTGAGTCAGGCCCGGGCTGGTGTGCGCCAGCTGCAGAGTAGGGCAGTTCTTGCCGAAACCCCTGGTGCTGCTGCAGCACCCGATGGGCACCCACCGCCGAGGGGCACGGTGGGTCACCTCCCCGCTAGCTGCCTGCGACCTACATAAGCACTGACTGAGAACTACAGCACTGACTGTTTGTTGCTGTTTCTGGGCCCAAGAAGTGAGAGTGAAAAACATTAATGCGTGTTAATTTCACTTTGCAGCTCTTGGGAACAGCGAAAGCAGCAGAGCAGGAATTGCTCACGGCAGAAAAAATCCACATAAAAGAGAGGGTGTGCAAGGGAAGAGGAGCAGAGACTCATTTACACCTCTGCCTCCGCAAGGAGCTTCTGGGTGCCCGACGAGTGGGGGATGGAGAGCTCACGAGCGGACGCTGGTGTGTGGGGAGGACGCATGCTCCCACACGGGTCATACCGCAGCATGGTCTGGGACACAGGGCTCCATGAGCGCCGTATTTTCGGGACCGCAGGTCTGAGCTAGGCAACTCACAGGCGCATGTGTGACCACAGCAGCGTGGCGCGGAGGAACTCGATGTCCTGCCGGCATGCCGACAGGCTGCTGGTTCAGTCCCTCTCCAGCTCTCTCAGCTCTGACCTGGCTTGCAGGTGCTGTACTAAGAAACCAAACCAAGCTCCAAGTCGGCACGAGCCCAGTCCGGCCTCCTGCCTGCTGCAGCGGCAGCCCCTGACATGCTGACCAGCACAGACCTGCACCTTGGGTTATTGCGGAGACCACCAAAACACCGCTGGATCAGAGCCAAAACTCTCCCAGTCCCACAACCAAGACACTGAGGTGCCTGATCCCCAGCACTTGCTTCAGCCATTGCCAACTTGACCAGCATCCCTCCTTTGCCAAGTCCCTGCTTTGAAGAGCACGGCATCAACCACAGGAGTGACACTTGGAGGAATTTTTGGAAAGGCTGTTTTCTTAACTGGCTGACCTGTGCTAGCTGCCTTATTATTATTTATATTTACAGAATGCCCAACTGGAAAAGTGTTTACAGCTGATACACCTGAACCAGAACTTGCCTGACAGACGCACGGATCGCTATTCAGTTCTCCCGGGGGGTGTGTTTTTAGACATACTTCTCTTTGTTGCTGCTTACTCCTCTACCCATGGAGAAAGCAAACCTCAAGGGGTGAAGAAGCCAATCCCATCAATTAAGGGCTTAAGAAACCTTTCTGTTACCAAGTGAGTAAAGTAATGTCTGACAGGTAAAGTTAGGAATGTCTTATCATCTCCTCTTTACGGGGAAGAGTCTGTAGGCTTTTTCTTCCTTCTCCCACACTTTGTTTACCCACAATGCGTGGGGACGAGCAGGCAGGAATCCTGCCTGGCAGTCTGGCTGCTGGACAGACTGGCACCCTGTGGGCAGCAGAGCTGCACCTCAGTGCAATGAAGGGCTGTCAGGACTCCGGTCCGGGGAGCCACTCCAGCACGGATGTTTCTGTTTCATTTAGGACAAGCAGGGAATACCAGCTGTCACAGACGAGACCGACGAAACACTTTAGAAAATGAGAACTAGGCCAGCATTTCCGTGAAGAGCCCGCACGGGCTCTTTGTATTCCCTTGGGCTCAGACTGGGTCACAGCTGGGCGTGTGGCTCGCTGCACTTGTTGCCGTGCTCAGCAGAGAGGACCTGCGTCCCACCGCTGCGCTCCATCTGTTATTGCCACGGTGAGGTTAACTCCCGTTCAACGGTGAGCGGTGAAACAGCCCCACGCTATCAAAAGCTCCACGAGATGCCGACAGCCATCCCATCCTGTGACCCAGCCAGCCCCGCGAGGCAGACGGGGCTCTCACCACCAGCCCCGCTGTGCTGCAGGAGTCGACACAGACGATTCGCTCCGGAGGTGCCGTTACTCCCTGCACATCCTTAACCATGCTCGGGCAGGCTGGCCGGGCAAAGCTGCTGCTAGGGACCGGCTTTTCCAGGCAGAGGTGACGAGTGCCTGCTCGCAGCTCTCACCAGAAAGCTCACCACGTGCTGCCGGAGCCTGGCAGTGCCTGCTCCGGCTCCGTCGGCCCCACTGCCAGCACGACCACGGCTCTCCACCTTGCCACGGACAACTCTGTATTTTAAAACTTTCTTCTCATATTCCACATCAGCGACGGCTCCAGCAGTTCCTGTATCTGTCCCTCCATCACTTCAGCCTGTGGTTTTAAAGTGCTTTTGATGTTACGGAGGTATGAGCATCGAGGGGCTCCAGGAGGACATAAAAAGGACCCGCTCAGCATTGCCTGCCTGTACGTATCTGCCATCCTGGCAAATGTCTGTCAGGAAGGATACGCACTTTAGAGCAGTTCACCTAGTTCTTTTAAATAGAAAACTCACTTACAAAATGAGACGTACATGTTTAATCTGAATACTTGAAATAGTGCTGAGACAGAACAGACTTGAAAAAAGAACAATTCAGGTGTAGTTACTGACCTGACAGCTTACCAGCCCCTGCCCTTCCAAAGGAGGGCTGCAGCGAACTAACGAGAGATTTCTGCTACCTCCATAAAACACTTTTGAGCACCAGCATAGGTC